AGAACTGTACATCGGTGGCGATACGGATGCAGCCAACATTCAGATTTATTTTACTGGACTAACAAATACCTCTGTGGATGAACCGGGTAAATTTTGACAAATACTTGTGTTTCATTAAAACTTATTTATCGGTTGGGTATAGGCTGAAAGAAGTAAGCATTAATATCCTTTTCTAATCGAGTTGCTTTTAGAAGCATTAATTTACAATAAAAAGGTAGAGCTGCTATGAAAGGTGCACTTTTCGCAATTGTTGGTAAATTGTTTCAGACGAAGATCCAAATACATTTCATGATGTGCAGGTTTCGGTACGAGAAGTTCACTTATTTATTCGAAGTGTGAACACAAATTTTACTCTGTCACGTGTTCTTCTAAGTAAGTCTTGGCCATCGTTATTTGAAACTTTATTTCCACTGACAAGTAACAGTTACTGTAACTTTTGTATAATTTTTTAGGAATTGTTCCGGACTCTTTGGCTTCGTTATCGATCACTCAGCAAGATGCATCCTTCACTTTCATTACCAGTGCTGTGGTCACTTAAATTCTGCGACAGGCTTAGTGGTGCAAGCGAGAAAAAACTCCTGGTTCTATTCTTGTGTAGTCGGCTACTGTAGCTTAGTTGTCAGCTGTTTATTCTCTGTCATTTTGTCTTCACAAGAAGTACTGTAGCTTTTAAAATGGAAATAAAGTAATTGTAATATTGCGTGGTATTTGCAGCAGTAGCCAAGTGTTCTTAATTATCTTTGAAATGGTCACAAAAAAAAATGTTTTCGTTTCAAAAGCCTGTCTAAATGATTTTACTGTAACAGAGGAAAGTAGTTGTATCTGAATTTGAAGAAATAGCAGTCTAATTGGGGTAAATAACTGCAAATGGGCGATAGACATTTGCGATCTAGATGGTACGCGCTATTGTCGTTTATTTTTACATAAAATACTAATGCTTGGTGACTTGAGATGTTAATCAGATGGCGTTGTTTTATAAGCTTCTTTTTGCCCCAAGGTACTGCGTTTTTTGCCACCGTTGTTTTTCAGAGTGTTCGGCCGACTTTATTGAACGGTGACAAACGGGAAGCGGTATTTTCATGCACTGTTGATACTCTTTGGGTAAGAGGGTGGGAGAGGATGAGTAGGAAGTAACTGGCATGTAGAAAGACATTATAACGGTTTAACACAGGTAAGAGTTGTCCAGCAAAGTGGACTCTTAAGTAAGAAGTGTCGATAGGCATATTTTAAAAACCAAAAATTTTTGCGGGAGATAAAAGAGGTGGGAAAGAAAGGGAGAGACGGGTGACAACAGTGCTGCCGACTGAATTGTGCCTTTTAGAGGTACACTCAACAGCAACAGTTGGTGCTCCCGCAATATGGTTGGTTAATTTTACGCTCGCAACCGGCGTACGCGTTGCGTTGCTATATTTTGCTTGGTTCCCTTTGAGCTGGTGTTTGAGCGAAAACCTGAGAGAGGTTATGATTCAGTGTTTTATACTTATGTACATTAAATTTTTCCTTTCTCTCATTTCGCCTGCACCTGCTGTTGGTGGTTTTCATGTGTAAGGCTTACAGTTTCACAGGTATATATATCAATTTTAAACTGAAGATTCGTTCGAGAATAGTATAATAACGTTCTAAACTGCAAAGAGTGTTGTTGTTGCTGTTACTACTACTGCTGTTGCTGCCACAGAAAACTTCAAAAGTTTAGTGCCTACTTTTGAAATTGCCTTAGTCTCTGCTCCTGACCCCATTCACCTCGTTTCCCTACCAGCTTTGCGCTACTGATTCGTCGAGAGCAAGTTGATCAACCACAGACGAGTACTTTGCGCATAATATTTTTGCTGATGATCAACTGCCTGATTGCTTCTTTTCACATTTTTTGAATTTTCGTTTTTTGAACGAAAATTTTTTTTTT